TAAATGGCAAGCCTATATGTCAACGTAGGTAAAAGGAGCTGATGAAGAGATTTACATTCAATGACACACATAATGGATTCTCACAACCTGATTGAAAAGTTCCACTGAACCGATCATGTATGTTCCCTTTGGTCCTAAGTACCAGACACACGGCAAGAAAGCAGTGACTACTGACTGAGCATCCATATGCAAGATAAGGACATCACGTCATCCTTCAGAAGGAAATACCACCCACCTCTCTCTCCTTCCCCCCACCCCCACTTCATTATACAATGTTTACAAGGAACTAGAAGAATTGGAAAATAATCCCTTTCCTCTCAGGGAGTTCAAGCTTTCAGCAAAACGAACAATTCACACATCGCTTGAGATTTTCAACACTAAATATATTTTCTATAGGCTATACTGACATAGCTTTGGGAAGAGGTAAGAAAAATTGAATGGCAATTTGGTTCAGATAAGATCTTGGAACAAATGCAAATCTTCTTTCTAAAAGAATGCACCGCAAATCTAGCCACACGTTATGTATGGGCATGAAGCTATAGTTCTCTACGCAAGAGTAACTTTTATTCTGCAATTAGTTCTGCCAACCATCTGCTTTTATGGTTACGCACTGTTCATTGTTTTAGCAACGATGTGTGCGTGTATACAGAATAATACAATGTATATGTCACAACTATTCTGATAGATCTGATCTGCAGTTTTTCTATTCTTCAAGCTAAATCATTTGATTTGATTCTTGAAGTCAGCAGAATTTCCAAGGTATCCAGCCTTATATACTGTACTCATGCATCTAAATGGAATATAAAGACAAACCGAAAAGATTTATTGTAGGCAGTAAATATGTCACTAATGTAGAATTACTGGACAGTATACATACAACTGGTGCCAAAAAAGCTTTTAGCTTTGTTGCCGAACTGGATTCTTTACTGCTGAGAAAATGAATTAATGGAGGGATTGGAAAAGGGGAGGGAGAATCTTTTCCCGTTTTTGCTAGTAAATCAACCACATGATACTTTTAAAGTCATACAGGAGTAAGGAAAGGTAGCCTCAGACACAAGTCCAAGTATTTATAGGAAAACACACTGTACTGGAAGTTATAAATAATTATTAGATGTGCAACATTTTTTCCATTCCGCAAGTGAAAAGGTGGCTGGCACAAAATTCGACTCTCAGTAGGGAGAGGAATCAGAAAGGATTGTCTGACTTTTAACTCGTAGCCCTTTTGGAATTTCACCAAGACTGACACTTCTGCTTGCAGAGACAGACAAGACTGTTTCAAAGAAACGCTCGCCTCCTGGGAATTCCTTCCTAGCCTAGGAAGGTGAGCAAATCATATGAACAATTGGTCGTACTCAATGGTGGCTTTGCTTCAGCAAATTTTCACTGGAGGCAGTACGCCAACGCATGGAGGCAAAAGCTTTGCATTTGAAGCAAGTGTGGAAAAGTGGTTAGCATAGGCTCTCTCAGATGTACCGGTGGTATTTGACTCCAGTAAGGCTCGCTAAGATGTATAAAAATTCTTCTAATTTATGCTGGAAATGCAAGGAGAAAGAAGGTACAGTTTTTCATATGTGGTGGACGTGTAAAAAAAGTAAAGGAAGATGACCTGGATGGTCGCCAGATTCTGTGCACAAATCTGTAGGCGCAGACCATCGCCCAATTCAAAATAGTCTGGCATGAAAATCCCCAAACTCGGTTCTATGGGTGACTCTGAGTCAACTCCCTGGGATAGTTCATTGTTGTACATTGTTTCTAAATTTATTGTTGTACATTGTTTTAATTGTCTGTTCTAAGCATATCTGCACATCAGTTTCTAATGTTGTGCGTGTCCTCTATTTCAGAGGCTTCTACTCTGCAACCTCTTACAGTTGTTTTAACTGCGTGTTTTTATTTGTTTTTAGTTCTTATCTGTTTTAATTATCAGTTTTTATCCATCCATTATCCGTGTTTAATCTTGTATTTTATTCAGATGTTTTATCCTACGCTTGTTTCTTTGTCCTTATTTGCTCTAACAATTATCGGTTTAAAAAAAATCCTAACTGCTATTTTGTTTATATGTTGTTGTTGTTGTCTTTATCCTGGTCTGTGACCGTAATAAAGTTCATTCATCATCTGCAAGTAAAGGGCTTCTGGGAAATGGTATACAATGAAATTTCAAAAATGTTTAAGAATACGTTTGTTAAAAAACAGAGGTTTTTTTACTAGGAGTAATAAGTGAAGAAGTGCAAAGAAACAAAAAGAGACTGTTTATGTATGTGACTACAGCAGCTAGAATGTTACTTGCCCAGAACTGGAAAGAAGAGAGTGTCCCAAGAATGGATGACTAAAATGATAGACTATGCCGAAATGGCTAAACCTACCGTGAAGATCAGACACCAAGATAAGGAAAACTCAATCAAGAATGGGAAGATTTTACAGATTACTTTAAAGTATACTGTAAAAATGTTAAAACATTAGCAGGTTTGATGTAACATTTGTGAACTCATAATAGAATTAGGAGGAAAAAAGAAGTTATAATTAATTGGAGAGATATAATTATATGCAAGGAGAATTAAAGGGGGGAAATGGAAACCAGAGGGTGGATGGGGGAGTCATTTAATGCAAATTTGGATTGGATATGTACATACAAAAGAAAAAATGCAGTTATTTTGAAAATTGAAAAATAGAAGTATTTTTTAAAGGGGGGAAACATAGGCTCTCTCAACCTTGGTCCCTAGATGTCTGGACTACAACTCCCATCATTCCTAGCCAGCATGGCCAGTGATCAGGGGAGTTGTTGGTCAAGAACACCTGAAGATCCAAGGTTGAGGAAGGCTGGGTTAGCATTGGAAGAGGACTTGGGAGATCAAGGTGCAAACAGCCATGAAGGTCTAGGTCGGGCATCCCCAATCTTTGGCCCTCCAGATGTTTTGGCCTACAACTCCCATGATCCCTAGTTAACAAGACCAGTGGAGGGATGATGGGAATTGTAGTCCAAAACATCTGGAGGGCCAAAGGCTGGGGGTGCCTGGTCTAGGTGACCTTGGGCCAGTCAGTGACTCTCAGCCTTAATCAACCTCACAGGGTTGTTGTGAGGTTAAACTGGGGTAGAGGAGGAACCAGGAACATCACCCTGACATGCTTGGAATAAAAATAAACCCAGATGCCAACTTTGCTGCCACATACACCCGGACAACACCATTACTGGCCCCAACAACATCACACATACCATCTCGGGACTATTTAATTGCTCATCGTCTAACATTGTGTATGCCATCAAATGCCAACAGTGTCCTTCAGCTCTCTATATTGGACAAACAGGCCAAACCTTATGCCAAAGAATAAACGGACATAAATCTGACATCAAGAATCACAAGACAGAGAAACCAGTAGGAGAACACTTCAATCTCCCAGGACATTCTATACAAGATCTCAAAGTAGCTGTTTTACTACAAAGGAATTTCAGAAATAGACTGGAAAGAGAAGCTGCTGAATTGCAACTCATTACCAAACTTAAAACCATGGAGAGACCTGGTCTGAACAAAGACATTGGATTCTTATCTCATTATACATGACAAAGCCATTTTTCACCTTCTCACCCCTTGCTTTTTCCTGTAAGACCTATTGCAGTCTTTAAGAGTCGTCAACAGGCTCATCACAGCTAAGGGAAATGATGCCTTATGAGGAACGGCTAAGGGAGCTGGGCATGTTTAGCCTGGAGAAGAGGAGGTTAAGGGGTGATATGATAGCCATGTTCAAATATATAAAAGGATGTCACATAGAGGAGGGAGAAAGGCTGTTTTCTGCTGCTCCAGAGAAGCGGACACGGAGCAATGGATCCAAACTACAAGAAAGAAGATTCCACCTAAACATTAGGAAGAACTTCCTGACAGTAAGAGCTGTTCGACAGTGGAATTTGCTGCCAAGGAGTGTGGTGGAGTCTCCTTCTTTGGAGGTCTTTAAGCAGAGGCTTGACAACCATATGTCAGGAGTGCTCTGATGGTGTTTCCTGCTTGGCAGGGGGTTGGACTCGGTGGCCCTTGTGGTCTCTTCCAACTCTATGATTCTATGATTCTATGATTTTATGATCTGCCAATCACCCATTCCCACCACCCTTCTGAGTAATACCCCTCCCCACCTTCTCACTATATAGAAGGATCTGGCAACTTCTGTTTCAGTGTATCTGAAGAAGTGTGCATGCACACGAAAGCTCATACCAAGAACTAACTTAGTTGGTCTTTAAGGTGCTACTGGAAGGAATTTTGTTTGTTTTTAATATAAAATAAGGTTATAATTGAGGATCCATCCATGAACACACACACACACACACACACACAGAGAGAGAGAGAGAGAGAGAGAGAGAGAGAGAGAGAGAGAGAGGATTTAACATTGTGCAAGCATTTATCCCAGGAATTTTGCACTGTATTTTAAATAAGAATCTGATTTTGCACTGCATTTTAAATAAGAATCTTACCAGCTCCTGTTTCACTGGGTGCTCCTTTGGATTAATTCCTTGTGTGGCAAGATATACTGTAAAATGAATTTTATTAATCAATATTATTATTGTTGTGAGAGACTTTAGCAATAGAATCCTTACTACACATCTAAATTGCAAAAGCACACATCAATTGCAAGACTGTAAAGCTGCTTTGCTAAACTGAACTCAGTGGTATTCGTCATAATATAAAACGCCTAACAGCTGGGTGAAATGGCATCAAAGGCTCCACGGAGAATCGGAAAGGTTGCTAGAGGAACCAAAGAACAAGAAAAGGGAATTGATCAGCTATTACAAAAATGGCGAAGGCTTAAATAATTAAGCTTTTCTTTAAGTGTCACTTATAAAAGTATAGTGGCTGTAAAATCATCATTAGAAATAGGATGGATACTTAGCTGCCGAGTTGCATATTTAAATATGCCGTTACATGCTAAAGTGCCTAAATTACCACCATAAATTTCATACTCCGCACTCACCCCAAAACATCGAATTCAATGTGTAAGCAGAGACCAAATCTAATTTTGCTTGTTCAAGAGGATCCAGCTAAAACACAAAAGATACAAACGTCATCGTGTGCATTTCATTATCTAACGGAGACATCAAAAAAGGCTTCCAGCTACAGGAACCAATTACTACCACAGTATAGCGTCAATGCCACACTCCCCACAATCAGGAATCTAACAGTACTTCACAGAATTCAAAGTTCATTAAAAAAAAATCAAATTGTTCATGGAATCCGACCCAATAATTTCAAGTAAACAAATTTCTAAAGAATAGAAAGTAATATTTATGTAGGCATGATCTGCATTTGGGGGCTTGACTTTCAGACACCTAATAAAACTGTCCCATTAAAGTTTTACCTATTACCTACCCAACCCAACGAAATGTCAGGAAATCCACAAAGTACAGTCATGCCTCAGGTTACAGACGCTTCAGGTTGCGCGTTTTCGGGTTGCACACCACACTGAACCCGGAAGCACTGGAATGGGTTACTTCTGGGTTTCGGCGGTTGCACATGCGCAGAAGCGCTAAATCGCGCTTTGCGCATGTGCAGAAGCGCCAAATCGCAACCCGTGCGTGCGCAGACACGGCACTGCAGGTTGCGGACGTGTCTCCCGCACGGATTATGTTCGCAACCTGAGCGTCCACTGTATGCTGAAATAAGCTAATAACACAACTCAGCATCCATGTATCCGTTCTGAACATTTAAAAGGATTCACATTTTTGTACGTGCTTCACATAATTTGCAGGAATATTTACAATACCTCTGTAAGGTAGGCTAGTATTATTGTACCTGAATTGCAGGTGGAGGGACAGCTTCCCAAAAGCCAACTGATCGGATTCTAACAGGGCTTGACAGTTTGCAATTTGGGGAGCTTGCGTATACTCCCAGGGAAACGAGTGGATATTTCAGATCTTTCCGTGGGTGAAAAAGAGAAGCCCACAAAAGAGAAGCATCACTGTTCCACAGGAGGGGAAACCATCCATGTCAAAGGACAAGACAAGGCATTCCAGGGTCCTAAGCGTCCTTGTTCCCCCAATACTCCCCAAACTGACCCCAAAACTGTGGCAGCCTGGGAGCGGGGCCTATTTTATCCTCCCTCAATCTGCTGCGGTCAATGGGAAAGAAATATATATTTTTTCATGACTGTGTTAGGAAATAGTAACATCACCCCAGCAAGCTGTCTGGGCTTCAGAAGTAGCAGTCTCCTCCACCATCACCACCACCAAAGGGAAGGCTCTATGAGCCATTATGCTACACCACTGCTCCCATGTATATTACGTATTTTTCGCTCTATAGACCGCACTTTTTCCCCTCCAAAAATGAAGGGAATGAGGTGTTGCGTCCTAATGGAGGAATGCAGGCTTTCGCTGAAGCCTGGAGAGCGAGAGGGGTCGGTGCGCACCAACCCCCTCTCACTCTCCAGGCTTCAGGCAGCTATCCGCAAGCCTTTGGAGCACTCCGAAGGCTTGCGGATAGGAAAGCCTGCAGCGCTACCGACGCCCCCGGTGGGAGCGCAGCATCACTGCCGCTGCGCTCCCCGGGCTTCAGGCAGCTATCCACAAGCCTTCTGAGTGCGGCGGGAGTTCCCGCTGGGCTCCAAAGGCTTGCGGATAGGAGCCTGTTCTGGGGGCTGGGGCCGAGGGAAGCTCGGGCTTCCCCTGCCCCAGCCCAGCCCATCGGCTAAAAACGAAGCCACGCGCAATCTCTCCCGGCTGGAGATGTTGCGCGCGGCTAAAGAGGAAGCCAAGACAGCCAGTGGGATGGATCCCGCTCGCTGTCTTGGCTTCTTTGCTCTTTGGGGCTTGGGAATAATTTTTTTTCTTTATTTCCCCCCCTAAAAACTAGGTGCGCCCTATAGTCCGGTGTGCCCTATGGAGCGAAAAATACGGTACTTGTCATTCCTGGCAGTGACCCAACGAGGTAACCTCTGGACCTTCCTCACAGCCAACTACCAAAGCCCTAGGTGCTTGCAGAGTTGCTTCTCTTTACAAGCAAGGAAGGAGTCCTACGGCACTGGGGACTATGGATCGCTGCCACCTGTTGCTTTAAGTGTACAATGCATGCAGGGATATTGCAGCTGTACAACACCGAAAAGGTAGAAATTGTTTTTTTTTGGCTGTCAAACCCAATCTATCTATTTCGTTCCTACAGGATTTCCAAGGAAACTCAGGTTAGCGTTGAGTGTGCAAGCTTACAAGATTGAACATGGATGCTGTCAAAGAGCTGAGTGTCAGGACCCGTTGTGTTATAATTTATTCATGTTTGGAAAGCTTCGGGGTGAAATTCCCTGATGGACGAGTTTTTATTTGCCCCAAAAGAAATTACAAAAATTGGATTTTAAATGTTAAGGTACATCGATACATGTACCAAGGCCTCAGCAGTGCCTTGTGCTGTTTCTGGGTGTGAAAAGTGAAGAAAGAAAAGATTACTTCATATATTCTTTTAGAGCTGTTCTTCCTACAGCTGGAATGGGTAAAGGTAGCAGTTTTAACACCTAGATTTTACATTCTAGGGGCGAGTTTATTCTAAAACTCCACTTCCAGAGAATAAGGGCAAGCAGAGAACGTACTCTGGTTTCTGGGGTGAAGTACAAGCCACCCTAATCATGAAAGACCGCTGGGGACCCTCCATTCCACCACCACCGATTAGTTAAAAGACAAACACCTGCATCTTACCTTTCTGGAGAAGCTCAACTTCTCGACACAGACATCATATTCTTCAACCATCTCATCCACAAAACCAACGAGACTTTATCAAAGGCAGAAAGGTAATCATGGGATCTCTGCTGGGTACTTCTTCTCCAGCAAGATCACTCTCCGACATTATGCTCTTACAACACAAGAAGCAGGACATGGTTTACCTATAGTACGGGTAGATAAACACAGAAACATTAGGCTCATGAAATGGTCCGTGAAGCTCTTAAAGAAATCACTTACGTCAACCTATGGTTGACAGTCCTGGATAACCAAGGGAAGTCTGCAAGGTTGGCAACTTTTTTCATTTTGAACAGGTTTTCAAATATTATCATGACAGCATAGGTACCACTTTCATGCACCTCATGAAAGTGTTAGAATTCCTGCTCCATGATTGCAGACATGGGATTGTTGTCTTTCACATGACAGTGTATGTTTTGACTCCACAGAGTGGGAAGTGACGGAGACAGGATGTTTGTGTTACTGTGTTCCGTGAAGTAGGACTATTGTCCTTTGTTCTTTCTCTCTTTGCTGTCTGATGCTAGAGAGAGAGGGAGCCATGTTGCAGTGCTCCGTGTGTGTTTATATGTAAATAAAGTAGATCAGCCGAAATGCTGAGTTGCTGAGGCCTGTTACGCAAGCTGCGCAAACTCTGCGGATCCCTAAGTGTGCCGGTGTCGGTTGGCATCGGTCACTGTGATGTTCGAGCAGAAGAAAGCTTTTGAAGCTCCTGAACAATCGACCAGGAGGGAGGGAACATGCCAGTTGCGCAATGTGTCTCTGCCAGGGTCCTACTCAAGAGCAGGACGAGCTCCTGACAGAAAGCCACCATCAACTTGGGTTCCAAGTTGTAGTAAAATTAATAAATGTAGTAAAATTAATAACACCTAGAAGGGTCAGCAAACTTTTTCAGCAGGGGGCTGGCCCACTGTCCCTCAGACCTTGTGGGTGCCGGACTATATTTTGAAGAGAGAAAAAAATGAACTAATTCCTATGCCCCACAAATAACCCAGAGATGTATTTTAAATAAAAGGACACATTCTACTCATGTAAAAACACACTGATTCCCGGACCATCCGAAGGCCGGATTTAGAAGGCGAATGGGCCGGATCTGGCCCCTGGGACTTAGTTTGCCTACCCATGACCTAGATCATACTGGTATCATTTAAAGCAGATGGCCCTCCGGATGTTGTTGGGTTCCAGTTCCTACCAACCCCAACCAGCATGGCCCATCGTCTGGGATGATAGAGATGGAGATGATGAACATCTGGAGAGCCATAGATTCCCCGCTCATTTTAAAGATTTAGATTTGGGTTAAGACTAATTCTCATGCTGCTCGCTGCTCACCACTGGAACCAGAATGCTGATGTTGGCATGAAAATACCCCCGTGTAATACATAATTTGATATTCTACTGATAACAACGTGGGAACCAGACAATGGAGTTCAGGAACCACACCCAAAGACATCATCTGAATAGCGCTTTTTTTTCCAAAAGAAAAGGGGTGTGGGCCAGGAACATGGATGTCTGCAAGGTTGGGAACTTTTTTCATTTCCATCACATGGACTCAGCCAGAAAGCACATTCATAAAATAAATGAGTGCCCCGTTAGCTCTCATTGAGAAATTGTGCACCTCCACTGATTCGGAGGGTGGGGAGAATACTACTTTTTATTACCTCAAAAAAGACACACACAAAACTGAGCTGGCAGAGGCCAGAGTATGACCACAGAGAATGTGCTGCTGCTATGGCAGAGTTTAAAAGTTGTTTGGACAACTGATTGGTCCACTTAACTTAAAAAGTTTGGGTCATTTAAAGAGGTGTCCCCAAATTGACCACAGGTCAGTGGCACAGCTTGTGTGTGTGTGTGTGTGTGTGTGTGAGAGAGAGAGAGAGAGAGAGAGAGAGAGAGGAGAAGAGAAATCAGATCCCTTTTTAAGATGGTGGCTTAAAACTTGTGTTTTAATCACTTAGTTCAGAAATCGGTTGAAACTCATAGTAATGCCTAAGATTCCAGGCAACACCCCTAGTTTTAAGCAGTTGTTTCAAAGCTTTAATCTTCAATAAGTAAGACTATTGCCTGCTTCAACAAAACAGCTGGTTGCCAAAATCAACACAAACTGCTATGGAACAGAAGTTGCTAAGGGGGAAATAAAGCAATGTGGATGATTCCATATATCTACAGGCAATCCTGGACTCCTTGTTTATTTCCCTTGCTTAATCTGCAAAACAATTACTTCAAACTATACAAAAAAGGTACTTCCTACATACAACAAGCAGAAACTTGATCAGTTTCTGGCCTGCCTTTACGCCCCATGCCTTGTGCCAAAACTGAACGACGGTTCTACATAACAGCAACAAAAATTTCCTTCCAAATAATCCCAGTT